ATGGGAGAACAGAGCTAGCCTGTTTCTAGGGCTACTATGTTGTCTGCCCTGCTATCAGTGACACCATCTGCTATTCTCTTAGGGACCTTTCTCTCAGGTTGTTAAAGATTCTTGGCATTTGTGTAGTTTGAAACTTTAGCAGAAGTAACTGGCATAAGGAAAATCTGAAAATATTTTGAGAATGCCTTTTACATAGAAAATACTAGTCTCATTACCTCTCAGCCAGAATAGTGTATTCCCTAATAACAAATAAGATGGACTGTTGTTCCCTCACCTGATGGCTCTGTTCTTGTGAGACTCTGGACAGGCCCCTTCATTTCTTCAGTTTCCTCCTCTGTAAAATGAAGGCCTTGGACTAGAGGACTCTTTAGTTCTAAATTCTACCACCCCCATTGTCTTTCTGCTGTACTCACCCTCTGCTTCTTGTCCACAGATATGGTCTTAGCCTTTCTCCTGGGCTCTGTGTTCCAAACTTTGAATTGTTTAGTTTCTCCCTTCAATACTGTTCTAATACCTAGTTCCCTAGGACCACAGGGTTAGAGCTGGAAGAGAACTTTCAGATCATAGAATCCAATTTCTTTATCTTACAAAGGAAGAAAATGAGGTTCAGAGAGGGAAAGGGACTTGTCCAAGGTCTTATATGTAGTAAGTATTAGCCTCTAGCGGCCGAAGTAGGGATCTCAGGCCGTTGAGGTCAAATTCACTGTTCTTCTGACTACATCCTCCTTCTCTTGTGATTCCATTGTGGACTGGGTTTATAAATTCATTCATTCAGTGAACGTCTATTAAGAGAGTCTGCTCTTTGTAAAGTACTGTGATGAGCACTGAGATGCAAAGGTGTAAGACATGAACTTTTCTCCAAAGAAACTTTTCTGCAAAATGAGGACATAGGATGTATACAAAAAACTATAATACAAGGGAGAGTGAGATATACAAAGGCACAATACTATGAGAAATAACAGGGGAAATCACCTTTAACTGGAAGTGTGAGGAGTTTCGGGGAGACAGGACAAGTTAGAACCCATAGGGACCATCAGATCGTGAGCCTGATCGTGTATTGACCGTGTTAGCTGGGTCTGCAGTAGATACCCATAGACACAAATGGTGGGAGCATACAAACACATACAGGCACTCGGGAGGAACTGGCTCCTTTTGTTCTCTGGGGCAGATAGTCAGCCCGACTGAACTGTGAGCTTTCTGAGGGAGTGGCACTCTTGTCTTCTTCCTAGTTGCTGCCTTCTAATGCTGAGCACACAGAAGCCACTCAAGTGTTTGTCCTGTTGCCCAGTACATTGATATAAACCCAGAATTCCTGGAGTCGTAGAACTTTTAGAGTTCAACCCTTTTATTGTGCAGAGGGGGAAAGTGTGATACCCAGGGATGAGCTTGAAGAATCACGGAGTTGTGGGGTTGGGAGGAAACTCAGAAGTTTTCTAGTCCAGTTTCTATGCTGGAGCATGAATCCCGTCTATAGTCACCCTACAAGCGGCCATCTAGTCTTCTCTCCAGTGACCAGTACCTCACTGTTACCCAGAGCGAGGCACCATTTTTGGACAACTCTGTTTGCTGAGAAGTTTTTCCTTATGTTAAGCTGAAATCTGCTTCCACTCACTGGTTCTGCTTTTCCTCACTGAACCTAAGCAGAACAAGTCTAATCTGTCTGATACGATTACAGCTCTTCAAATATTTGAAGATACACCATGCTGCTTTTGAGTCTTCTTCTCCAGGCTAAACATCCCCAATTCCTTTGACTGAGCTGCTTGGGGGCAAGCAAGTGTTAGGAGTCTGTCAGAAGCAATTAGAGCAGCAGCAGCAGCAGCAGTGGGGAGGGAGGGCTGGGGGAGAGGTGGCTCCTGAACTGCCAGAAGGTGTGTGACATCTAGCCTTTCCCTTCCTGTGTGACGTCTGCTGCCAGTGAGCTCTTGGAATGTTTGGGCAGGCGGTACCTGGGTGGGATGTGGCAATGTGTGCAGGAATTCTTGTGGTTTTAATGACAGACAGGTCTCTCAAGGAACTTTGTTTTTCTTTTCTTTTTTTTTTAATTAATTTATTTTGAATTATCGGCAATGACTTCCATAAGCCTTTGAGTTTTAAATTTTTCTCCCCCTCCCTCCCCAAGACGGCTCGTAGTCTGATTGGCTATACATATGCATTCCTGTTAGACATGTTTTCACATTAGTCATGTTGTAAGGAAGAATTAGAACCAATGGGAGGAACCACAGGAAAGAAGAAACAAAACAAAACAGAAGGGAAAAAAAGTGAAAATAGTATGCTTCATTCTGCATTCAAACACCATAGTTCTTTCTTTGGATGTGGATAGTGTTTTCCATTGTGAGTTTTTGGCAGTTGTCTCAGATCCTTGCATTGCTGAGAAGGGCTAAGTCTATCAGTGTTAGTCATCGCATGATGTGGTTGTTACTGTGTACAACGTTCTCCTGGTTCTGCTCACTTCACTCAGCATCTTGCAGATCTTTCCAAGTTTTTCTGAAGTCAGCCTGCTCATCATTTCTTACAGCACAATAGTATTCCACTACATTCATATACCGCAACTTGTTTAGCCATTCCCAAATTGATGGGCATCCTCTCAATTTCCAATTTTTTGCCACTACAAAAAGAGCTGCTATAAATATTTTTGTACATGTGGGTCTCAAGGGACTTTTTAATTGAAAGGTTGGAAACTTTATTAGAATGGACGTCTTTACTGGAGAATATTTACTTGTGAACTCTTGACGAAGGCAGTGACAGAATGCCATATGTTGAGCTGTAGTAAAAATAATATGTTACTTCTAGTAGAAAGAGCAGTGGCTTTAGACACAGAAAGCTTGGGGTCACTTAGACAACTCCCAGCGTTAGTTTCATCACCTTCAAAATGATACTTAGATACTGCATTCATTCAGACATGCCTTCCAAAGGGATTTTAAAAATCAAAACCAATAATGCCTAGAAAATGTTTTGTGGGGGCAGCTAGGTGGCACAGTGGATAGAGCACTGGCTCTGGAGTCAGGAGGACCTGAGTGGACCTGAGTTCAAATCCAGCCTCAGATACTTGACTCTTACTAGCTGTGTGACTCTGAACAAGTCACTTAACCCCCATTGTCTAGCCAAAAAAAAAATAAAAAGAAAATATTGTGTAACCACAAAGGGCTACATAAATGTGAGTTGTCATCATTCTGTGATAGGTTTTTAGAAGTGCTTCGTAATTCCAAAGAGCTGTGACTTTGTTTCTGTGGGTCTCTGTACTGAAGCAGACTAGAATTCTTCCGTATCTTAGTGTATGGTTTTCTTAGGTTATTGTGGCCACAAAAAATATTCATTGCTTAGTGGAAGTAAGCCTTCTCCAAACTTGACCAGGCTAGTCCATGCACTGTAGCTGTATAGACTGGTCAGGCCTGTTCCCATACCCTTCCTAGTTTGGTAGGAATCTACCAGAGCTTGAGTTTTGTTGGCATGACCTGCAAGAGCCCAGGGCCCTCTCCATGTTGTGATGAGGTATCAGAGGAAGACTTTAGCAGAAGATATAATATATTTTAAATAAATAATGTCTCTGATAAATGAAAAGTCAACTTAGTTAACTCAGTGGCAACACATATTACTTTATACTTTGTACAGCATCCTCATACCTGTGTAAAATAAGTGTTATCCACGTTTTGCAGATTAGGAAACAGAGGCATCAAGAATTTAGATGAATCGCATAAGTAGTTAGTGGCTGAGAACTTGGACCTTTCTGACTCCTAGGCCAGTGTTGTTTGCACTCCACTTTGGGGCTGATGTGACATGCCCATCTCAGAGCCTCTTGTTTCAGGGTAGTGATATTAGTGCTTTTATTTTCTAGGTGGGCCTGGGTCCTTCAAGATGCTCTGGGAATTGCCTTCTGCCTTTACATGTTAAAAACCATTCGCCTGCCAACTTTCAAGGTATGGGAACCTGCAGAGGGTCAGTGGGGCGGGTTAGAATTCAGCTTCCATGCAAAGGTTGTGATTGGTAGATTGGAGATAATCCTTGGAAGTGGGTGTGTTTTTAGGGCAGTTTTCATCCATCTTGTGTTGACACCTAGTCCTTTTAGCTTAACATTTCCCCCTTTTTTCCTTCTTCATGAGACTAGGCATGTGAGAGTAGAATGTCTCTGAAGAATAGTTGCAGTTCTCTATATCCTCTGTCCACCAGCAGGATATGGTCATTGTTGCTGTAACTATCATCTCTCAGTTATTCAGGGGCTAATTATCTACTTTGTGGGTCAGTTAGGACTTTGGCTTATTTCTTCATCCTCCTTTTGGCCACCCACCCCATAATTGATTAGTGTGAGCATTGGAAAAATGAAAACTCCAGCCAGTGTTACTTCTTACAAACAGATTTTGGAAGGTTTGGCTGGGGGAAAAGATGAAATATTGCTTAACATCATGCTTGGGCGTAGTCTGTGGTTTTCAGTTACCTAGGCTGGCTCCATCTGATTTTGCCTAGCAACAGCCAAGAGTTAACTCTCATTTTGAGGGCAGAAGTACTAGAGAAGCAAGTGGCCCTGATGGAGAAAGTTTTTAAGTATCCACAGGGATGGGCTTAAATGGTGCAAGGCATGTGTAGTGGAAAGTGAACTGACCTGGGAGTCAAAAAAGACCAAAGTTCAGAGCCTTTTTTCTACCCTTTACTAGCACTGTGACAAGGGATAGCTCACATCATGTGCTGAAATACAGTTTCCTCAGTCTGTCTGATGGAGATAATCCTGCCTTGCCTCTCTCTCATAGAGCTGTTGTGAGGATTCAGTGGGCTTATAGAAGTAAAGGAACATCGTTAATTGTAAAGAACTATATGAAATGTAAATTGATATTGGAAATGTTAAAATCAGTGTTACTTTGTTTCTGGAGAAAAAAAGCAAAAAAAAAATCCATTCAAAAAGAACTAGAGAAAAAAAAGTCAACTGTCTAAAAAGCAAAGTCAGTCCTCCTATAAAAACCTGCAGCTGAATTTTCAAAGAAAATGTATCTCAGTTATTTGGCCCATTTCGATTTTTTTTTTTCTTTATTTAGAACTTGTAAAGTTTTTATTTTTTTTCTCCCCAAGCTAAGCCTCAAACTTAAGATGTTTGAAAGCAGACATACGCCCTGAAGGGCAGTTTCTCTGGTCTGTCTTTATTCATTAAAGCTTTTGGGGGGGGGGTTATCTTTGAGTTGTGAGCTGGGGTGGAAACTTTTGGTCTGAAAAGTAAAAAGTGAGACAGCGAGGTGGCACAGTGGAGAGAGCACCAGCCCTGGATTCAGGAGGACCTGAGATCAAATCTGGCCTCAGACACATAACACTAGCTGTGTGACCCTGGGCAAGTCACTTAACTCCATTGCCCAACCAAAAAAAAAAAAAAAGAATTGAAAGTGAGTTTGTGAATTACTGTACTTGGGGTTTTTCTGTTTGTTCATTTCCTTTTTTCATTTGAAAACAAAACAAAAAAAAAACAGCCAGCATCTAGGCCTGAGTCTAGAGTGTAGCATCAGGAGCTGACCCCCTTCCTTCCTGGCATGGCATTTGCTTGAGTCCTGGCTGGCCTTGGTGGCCGGAGAGGAAAAGAGAAGGCACTGAGGAGTAACAAAGAAAGGGTGAGAGGCTGGAACCGGTTTGAGATCAGCTTCTGGCTTAGTGTTAGTGCTTTACACTAACTTAGCTTAGTGTCTAGCTTAGACAAAGTCATTCGATTGTGAAAATTCATACAGTATCAGTTGGATAGATCTTCATAGCTAGGCAAAAACTTGAAGAGCTTTTTTTCCCCATCTCAATGACTGATTTTTTTTTCTTTCCTAGGCTTGTACTTTGCTTCTGTTAGTGCTTTTCATCTATGATGTATTTTTCGTATTCATCACACCCTTTCTGACAAAGGTAAGAATTGTTCTAGCTGTTCTGTCACCTGAACAGAGCAAGACTTAATGCCAGAGTTCCAGAATAGTTACGTTTCCCGTATCCTTTTTTTCTTCAGAGTGGGAACAGCATAATGGTGGAAGTGGCTGCTGGCCCTTCGGATTCTACCACTCACGAAAAGGTATTTCATAGTAGCTTCAGGATATGAGGTGAATTTATTACTGTTAACATCTGAATGCTTTCATCTCCAGAAAGGGTAAAACTACAAAGAGCTACTTGAATAGGAGCTCACAAATTGTGCCAACATTTATGGTGACTTCAAAGCCTCCTAACTCCCATGCCAAGTCTGTGAAGAAGGTATGTATGTGGGCAACGTGTGGGAAAGTAAGAGGAGGCTGGGCACGAACATATGTGTTTGACCTCCTGAAGAGGACTGAGGTGGGTCTGCTGTGGGTGATAAACCCCCAAGACTATGCCCAAAGGGAAGAGAAAAGGAGCACACAACATGTGTGCTAAGCACAGAGATAGGGAAGCCTAGAGAAATGGTTCTGGGCAGGGGCATGGAGACATTGTGTCTGAGGACTTTTTTCTTCCTCCCCTCCTCCAATTTTCTGGTTTTTTTATTTGCTTTTGTTTTTTTGGCTTTTGCATTTCTATGTAGATTAAACATGATTTTGTGAGCAAACTCAAGTTGTATATAACATTTGAGGAAGAATTGTAATACAATGGAAAGAGCCCTGGACTTAGAAGGTCTGAGTTCAAATCCAGGCTCTACCACTCTGAGTCAGAGTTTCCTCATCTGTAAAATGAAGGGGTTGGACTAGAAGACCCCTAGTGTCTCTTCCATTGCTAACATCCTGTGATCTGTGTTTCTGAATTAAGATAACTTTGGGTGGTAACCAAAAAAACAAACAAGTGTATTCTTATGTGTTCCATTCCCCACCCCCCACCCCCAAACCATGGTTTCAGAATTTCCAGAAATTTTCCCACCTTCTGTTAAGTCTGGCAACACTCCCTTAAGGATGACTGGTTTGATAATACTCCCCACAAATGGGCCTCCACAGACTTGACTGAAATCATCACTGTTGTTTTTGTGACTAATGGCAGAAAGTTTTTGTACTTACATATGGAGCCCTTTGTTCTGATTGCACACCTGCCTTATGGACATTCCCTCTGTCATTACAGGAAACTATTTTCTATGAGGTTGAGAAACTGCCAAACCTACAATTTGTTAGGGAAAGACACTGTAGCTTCCAATTTCCCCATAACTTGTTTGATGTTTGTAGAATTGTCATGAGAAAAAGGTATGTGTTTTCATGACTTTGATTGTAAATGTACAGATTTTACTAAAAACATGTTATTTCTTCCCCTCTTTTTAGCTCCCCATGGTGCTGAAGGTCCCAAGATTAAACTCTTCACCATTAGCACTCTGTGACAGGCCATTTTCTCTCTTAGGCTTTGGAGATATCTTAGTGCCAGGTATTTCAGTTACTAAGCTTGCAGGTTAATGAGCCAAAATAAAATGTGGTATAGTGGATTTTGGAATCAGAGGACCTGAGTTTAAATTTAACCCAGCTCTGCTTCTTATTACTTACGTGACCTTGGGCACGTGATTTCTGTAGACCTCCAGCTTCCCCATCTGTAAGATGAGGGTTTGACTAAATGTTCTCTGAGGTCCTTTCCACCTCTAAAAAAGTGTTGCGTGGAGCCCCTGATGCTATGCTAGGCACTGTAAGGGAAGGTGAAGTTTAAGACATAGTCCCCGTCCTCAAGGAGTTCAGAATCCAGTTGGGCAAACAAAACACACCCTTGAAACAGTCAGCAAAATGTTACCTAAGTGCTAAATTATGTGCTGTATGCCATAGCTGTTATAGGAGTTCAAGAGAGAGAAGATTGATGATGCAATTGCATCTCAAGAGCCCCACAGACAAGGCTTTCTGTGATCTGACTTCATCCTGCCTTTCCAGCCTTATCTTCCTCTATTCTACTGGAATCTTCTGTGCCAGATAAAATAGTTTCTTCCTATTTGCTCAAACGCATCTGTTTTCTTTTCCTTTTCTCATGCTGTTATTCCACTTTCTTTCTGCTTCTCCAAATCTTCCTTACCCCTCAGATATCTTGGCTCAAGTCTCATCTCCTCTGCAAAGCTTTCATGGTTACCCCTGCCTAAAGTGTTCTGTCCCTCCCTTGAACTGCTATGACACTTCATTGATTGTGCTACTTTGGGCAAATAAAGCACATGCTACTTTGGGACTTCGCCTGTCATCTGATTACTTTTGATGCCTTCCCAACTCCCCAAGATAGGGACAGTGTCTTGATCCCATTCATGTCCCTACAGTGGATAGCACAGTGCTTTGCATGTTAACAGATACTCAGGATCTGATTTTTGTGCTTGCTTTCTTCATGCATGCACGCATGGCATGAAGTGTAGGGGTTGACACTCCCAAGGGGTCAGAGCTCTTGGTGTGGGTGTTTAGAGAACTTTTGAAAAATCTTTTTGCCACAGTGGCTATTCTGCCTGCCTGACTTATTGTGAAACTCCACTTACCCCATTGGGATAATTTCAATCATGATTTTGTGAATTATTATAATTTAATGAGTACTTCCATAAATCCTCCATGAATGGTCTTTGCACCATGCTGGAGCCCTTCCAGTCCTTTTGATACAGTTACTTTACTATGAAGATGGATGGTTGGGTTGTAATATACACCAGTGGAGGGAGCACTTACACCCACACCCACACCCACACCAGTGAGATCTTAGCTCTGTTGAAATAGAATCTGGAACCATTGATGTGGCAACTTGGTTCCTTTTCTCTTTGGGTCTTTTAAAATTCCATTGTGGGTTTAATGTATTTAAAGTTGATCATCTCATAGGCTGTTAGAGTTGGAAGAGATGTGAAGTTGTCAAAAATGTACTAAGTAGGAGTCCAGAGTTGTGGGGCCTCGTCCTCCAAGGCTCCTTTCCCACTATTAGAACCACTCTAGAAGGGAATGACTTCCTTTGAGAGGTAGTAGTCTACCCTCACTGAAGGATTTCTGTTATGGGTTGGATTAGATGTCCTCTGAGTTCCTTTCCATCTTGGAGAGTCTGTACTTCTCTGGGTCTCAATTTCTGCATTTGTACAATTAGAAAGTGGGGTGAATTTGATGACCATTAAAGGTGCTTTCCATCCCGAGTATCATCTGATTCTAAACCCTTTGGAAATGTGTTAGGATAGGGAGTAAGTACAATAATTTGCTAAATTTTCAGCAAGAGAATGTAAAAATAATTTGCTTTCTTCCTTTTCCAGGGTTATTGGTAGCATATTGCCACCGATTTGACATCCAGGTGCAGTCCTCTAGAGTCTACTTTGTGGCCTGTACCATAGGTAGGTACAAAAGAAGTATTTTATAATGTCTTGTAGCACGCCTACAGACAACTCGACTGTAGCTCTGTGACCAGTTTGTTTGAGGTTGGGAGCAAAGTGCAACTCAGTTATTTAATTTATTTCGACTTTAAAGACCCTATGGTGTCTCCAGCATTTTGACTTGAGGTGTCTTTTTTTCTCTTCTTCATTTTATGTTGGTTGTTTGGTGGTTATGGTATTACCTACCAAGAACATTCCATGAAAACAAACTTTTAACCTGAAAGTGGCTGCCTTGTTTTCTACACAGGGTCAGAAAATCATGTGTGTTGCATTATCATTTCTTTCTCATTCTTGTTTGGGTGCCTCAAATAAAAAAAGTAAAACTGAGTTTAATCCTGGCTCTGCCCCTTACTACCTCATCTGGCCTTGCACAAGTCATTGCTGACCCTCCTTAGAATGAGGGGCTTGTACTCGATCTCCAGAGTCCCTTGCCAGTTCTGACAGGCTGTTCCATGTTCAGAGAGAGGGGACTGCAGAGGAATAGACTGATGTGAGCTTGTCTTTGACAGATGGTCACTATTTGAATAAGATAGGAAGAGAAGAGAAGGAAGGGTGGTTGTTCAGTCATATTTCAGTTGTGTCCGACTCCGACCCCATTTGGGGTTTTCATGGCAAAGATACTGGAGTGGTTTGCCATTTCCTTCCCCAGCTCATTTTACAGATGAGGAAGCTGAGGCAAGCAGGGTCACATGGCTGTTAAGTGTCTGAGGCCAGATTTGAAATCAGGAAGATGAGGTTTTCTGCTTCCAGGCCCAGCACTCTGTGCACTGTGGCACCATCTAGCTGCCTCTTTGGAAGTTGGGTGGATGTTAGCGAAAAGCACAGACTGGAATTCAAAGATCGTGCCCTGGAGGGCAGCGAGGACATTGATTTGACTAGACTGCAGAGTACCTTTTGGGAAGGGATTAAGGTTTCAGGTCTTGAAAGTTAGAGAAATTATAGGAAATGGGAGTAGAGATTTTTGAGCAGGTCAGATGATAGGCTGAAAGCTTTTTCGGGAAGATGAGGCTGATGGTACTGTGCTGGACAGATTGAAGGAAGGAGGAGTTGGTGGTAGAGAGTCTAGTTGGAAAGCTTTTGCAGGCATGAAACGGGAGACCTATGATAGGGTACTGGCAGTGAGAATGGAGAAGAAATAGGAGATGCTTCAGGGAGAAAGTTCACAAGTTGTTATGACCAGCTGACCAGATGGGGAGGGGAGGAACAAGCAGTGTTGAGTGACTGCAGTGGGTGTCTCCCATCACAGGCCACACCCTAGGCTTGGAACTCAGCCGTTAAAGGAAGTGGCACATCAGAGCCAATGGAAGATAACTGTAGGCTTCAGTCTGAGTGATAGTATTTAGCATATGCAAAACCACCCATGATATTACCATCATTGTCTAAGTCCAGTTAGCTCCTTGTGACAAGCATCCAAGTGTGGGTTATTCCAAATCCTGGTCTAATTGAGTTGGTAATATGTCCTTGCTGTTAATTGAAAATTGGCTTTGCTAGGAGAAAAGAGGAAAACCAGAGAAAGTATGATATTTTGTTTTGATTTGTTTTGGCGAGGCAGTCAGGGGTTAAGTGACTTGCCCAGGGTCACACAGCTAGTAAGTGTCGAGTATCTGAGACTGAGGCTGGATTTGAACTCAGGTGCTCCTGACTCCAGGGTCAGTGCTCCATCCACTGTGCTGTCTAGCTGCCACCAGAGAGTGTTGTTGAGACTTGCAGACTTTCTGGTCATCCTTCCGTTCATGTTATCTTACCTGCCAACTCCCTGGTTGTCCTCAGCCAAGCCTCTGCCACTTTGTGCTTTGGGATAGGCCTGATCATTGCCACCTACCCTCAGGTCACTGAGAGGCAGGGTTCCCCAGAGAGAGGTCTTGAAGGTAGAAAGAAATGACCTTATTTAAGAGCTAGTCTAGCCTGAGATGGTGTGCTTAATACAAGACAGCTCTTAGTGGGAGCCAGATGAGGATTTAGAGCAGTAATTGACTTTCAGAGGAAGGGGAAAACACTTGCTTTACCTGTGTTGGCATCAAGGTGTGTGTAACTATGCCCATCCCTTTAGGAAATGCAAAAATGTATTCCCCAAAGTCTTTCTACTTCCATTGAGCCTCTGTTGTGCTGGATGCTTAGGAAAGGATACCAAGCCTTGAATAAGACATGATTCATTCCCTCAGGGATTCCCTGCGCTTGGTAGGGAAATAAGACAGGATTCAGCTCTGAGACATAGTGTTTCATGATTAGCAAAATGGTATGAAGGGCAGGGGGGTGGCCCTGCAGATCAGGTAGGGCTCCCTGGAGGAAGTAATATATATCTTTTCATGTTGCTCCAGAGACCGAGTGGAGGCTCAGCACCAAGCTGCCTGGGTCCCAATCTTCTTTCTGTGAGATAGAATGAATAAGTGGCCACCTGTCCATCACATTTTGGGGGGGGGGGAACGCTGTGTGATCCTTGATACAGTTCTGCCTTGCATTGTCAGTATTTTTTAAACAACAAATGGAAACATTAAAGGGAAGAAGTAGAACAGAGTTTGAGCATACTTTGCTGGTGTTTAAGGTGTAGTAGATAGATTTCACTAATTTCACCGTGGGTGGATGTTGATTTTTACCAGGCAGGTTAGAAGAGTGTTGTAGTAATGATAGCAGATGCAACAGCTCACATTTTATTTACAAAACAGCAGCTCTGTGAATGAGGCATAGTGTAAGTCACATTAGCCCACCTGTACAGTTGAGGAAACTGAGGCCCAGATCGGCGAAATGGTGACTGAGTTTCACCCTCAAGGGTGATGCATGATGTGCTCTGCCTACAATGCGTAGATTACCGAAGTGTGTGTGCAAAGCACAGCATTTGGTACTAGGAAAGTTCAACAGTAGCACCTTTATGGAGCCATAGAAACAACCAACCAATGAAAATAACACCTGGTCATCATTAAGAGGTAAAAGCAAAAGTTTGAGGCCACATTGGAAAGGAAAGGCTGGGGCCTGCTCAGGGCGAGTACTGTTTCAACAGCGGGTATAAGAGGGCATTCCAGGCATGGCCTACAGAAGTTTCTAATGTAAAATGTAATTGTTCCGTCATGAGAGAAAAACAGTGAATCAGTTGGTCATTGGTTATTTATAGAATGATGGTCCTACCGTGGTTCTAAATATGCTGTAGGATAATATTAAAGATATTTGAGATGTAACTGCCTGCAAGGAGGTGGTTGGGAATACAAAACACAAGTAAGGTAACACACTTAGTACACACAGTACTTTGTTTGAGTCTCCTGGGAATGAAATTCCTTTATAATAAAGCCTGCATTTTTAAAAATAATCACAGAAGTCTTCGATCAAACTTTTTTTAAATAGAGACTTTTTCATTTTTGAGTATCACATATAAGGATAGAGGCTAACTATCCAAAGGGAGGGTGACTAGGATGATTGGGGTCTGAAGGCTTTGCCAAACTAAAATTAGTCAAAGGAACCAGGTATGTTTAGCCTGAATAAGAAAAGGTGGAGGTGCACTATTTGCAAGTAATTCAAGGCTTTTTTGTGGGAGATACGGGGTTAGATTTGTTCTTCTTATACATAATGGGCAGGAAACAGTAGATTTTTAGCTCAATAGGAGGAAGAATTATCTAATACCAAAAGCTCTATGAAAGCGTATTTGCCTGAGAAGGCAATGCGTTTTTGTATTCAGATGTGGGTTGGACCAATGTCCTTCCAGCCCCCAAGATTCTGTGATTTTATAAATGTAGAGCAGCACCGGTTCCAGTTTAGTTGGTGAGCATTGGGCCAAATTGTGACCTACATAGATTTACATCCAGGGCTAAGTTCTTCCTCTTCTTCTTACCAACCCCTTCTTCCACTTCCTGGGTCCAACAACCTCCTGCTGTTTCCCCTTTTCCTCTTATCCTAACAGAAAAGGATCTGATGCCATGTATTCGTACTGGTTGGTTGAGTCACACTTTGTTTGAATGAACTTCTTCACTCAGTGAATTACTTTAAATGTGTTTTAAACCTAGTTGTGGGAAAAAGCCATTGTGCTCTATTAAGAGAATTTCAGGCATCAGTAAACAGATGGGGACCTCCTAGTGTCTGTAGTGAGAGAGAGAGTACTAGATGCAGAGTCAAAAAGTCCTGGATTTGCTCTTGGCCCTTCTGCCTTATATGATCTTGGGTAAGACACTTCCTTTGTGTGGTACACAGGTTGTCTTCTCCCCAAAACAATGATAATAATGATCATTCAGGGTTATGTAGTATTAAGGTTTACAGAGAACTCTTTTCATAGCCCCATGGGGTAGCCAGTGCCAGGTTACGTATCACACTTATACATAAGGAAACTGAGGCTCAGAGTGGAGTAATGATTTGCTTATCATCATCACACTGTCAGTTAGTCAGTAAGGAGTCATTATGTGCCAGGTACTGTACTAGGTGCCAAAAATACAAAGACTAAAATGAAACTGTGCCAGCCCTCTTGGAGCTTCCATTCTGCCAAGTGAAATAGAGCTAGTAGGTTTCAGAGCCAGGATTGAAGATGGGCCAGATAATCCCAGCTGCCCTTTTATTGCTAAATTCTGTGATACGTTTAGGCTTCAGAAGTGATAGTCATTGGTCTCTTCCCCACTAGGCTTCCCTACCCTCCTCCTTGGAGGTAGGGCAAGAACTGGCCTAGCATTGGCTGTTTGAGGCCTGTTTGCAAGAGCTCTTTGGAGGCAGAAGAATGTGTCCTATCATCATTGACTTCTGGAATTTGGTTTGTCCCCTCCCTGCCTGAACACAAATCAAGCTTTCTCTGCCTCTCATCATTAACTCCTCATCTCCCTCTGACCCAAGACTACAAGGTGCATAATTTGTTATTCTGGCACATTTGACCTTAATTAACATTTAATGATAGTCATTTCGATAACCCTTCCCTTAAGTCCGGGCTTGAAGCATCCCCAATACCTACTATATTGTTTTTACCTCGTTAGGAAGTTTGTCATGTCACATCTCAGTGTCCTTATCTCCAATTTGCTCTGCTCTCTAGCCTCCATACGTGTATATGTGACCCATGCTGCCCCTGTCAAAGGCAGGGTAACAGGGAATCTCCTGGAGGGGAAAGGGTAGCCTGAGTGGGGGAACCAATCATAGGACAAACACAATCCCCACGCACCATCCACCTCCTAGAACCCACCTCTCTTGTTGTCTTGTGTTATTCTCCTAGATGTATGAACTTGATAACTCTTTGTCCCTGAAATAATACTTATGCTTTCCTGCCTCCGTGTTCTTGTCCATGCTGTTCCCTGAATCCTGGAATGTTCTTCCTCTCCCACTTTCCACTTTGCCTGTTAATTCTCCACCCATTTTTTAAAAATCTAACTTATGTGATTCCTTGTTGTCCACAAAACTTTATCCCTCTCATCCCTTTGGTCAGTAATACTTTCATCTTGGGACCTCATACAGCACTTTGTTTTTTATCTTAATGTTCTTAATGTGTCATTTTATGTCATAGGGTCTATATTTATGTTATCCCTCTACTAGACTATAGATTCTATGAGGGAAGGGACCCTGTCTTATCTAAGCTTTGTGTCTGCCCTGATGTCTAATTCAGTATTCTGCACACAGTACGTCCTTAATAAAATTTACTGAATTAATTAATTAATACAGGTATTAATATGTACAGGTATCCTCATCTGTAAAATGAAGAGATTGGACAATATGTTCTCTGTCTTTTAGCTCTAAACTCATGTTTTAAACAAAATGCCAAATGATCCAGTACATTGAAATAACTTGGTTCTTCTCTTCTTTGTCTGATTTAGCCTATGGCATTGGCCTTCTGATCACCTTTGTGGCTTTGGCATGGATGCAGAGGGGCCAGCCAGCTCTCCTCTACCTAGTGCCCTGTACAGTGATCACAAGCTTTGTGATAGCTTTATGGCGCAAGGAGCTGAGAATGTTCTGGACAGGCAGCGGCTTTGCGGTGAATACCAGTTTGATATGACTGTCTTCAAGAAATACTAATATTAGAAATCCTAACTAAAGTTAAAGTTGAGTAAAATATTGTAGTTTTATCATCACAATCATCCAGCAGATGTTTTGCCATAATACTTGTTTTCTGATTATGGAAAGGTGATTTAGTTTTAGGAGTTCTATTTGTGGCCCTAGAATGCTTTAAAACTTTGGTGTGACCAGTGTAGAGATACATAGTGGACTTGTGAAGTAGCGTGTTAACTTTTGCTTGATGCTCATGTTCGCTGTCTTACAAGTTCTGTTAGTCCTAAAGTATAATCGTGCCCCACTTAACTGGAGGTCAGACTTCTGGCAACCTCAGTCATCTGGAACCCAGCTGCAGATGTGGATGTAAGCCCAAATAGGCCTTTCTGCAGCAGGCATAATAGTTGTCACAAAGCCCAGATAGTAGAGCCAACCACTGTTAGAGCAGGGTGGTGAGTGAAATACAGGGCATCATATTAGAAGAAGCGGTATCCCCTGATAGCATGGTGAGCAGCAGCTCTGTCCCTGGAAGGAGGAGACTGAAGACCTTGACACAGCAGTAGCCTCCAGAGGTCTTTCAGCTCTGGGGGAAACTTCCCTGAACGATACAGTGATTGGAATTCATTATGGTTACCGGGAGGCAACAAGAAAGCAGTGAGTTATGTTTAGTCTTCATTTCTTAAAAAAATGGGGAAATGTGAAATACATTTTAGAAAAGTTTTCATCAAAAATCTCTAAATAAGAATATCTCAGCACTTTATTTAGATGCCCAGTTGTTGGGGATATCAAAAGAGCTGGATTAGATGACCCTCTAAGGTTCCTTCCAATTCTAAGAGTCCGAACTTCACTGAGTCTGGAGAATTCACTTATATTTAATATTTCGTCCTTCCCCAACCATGTTAGATATCGGAGCCATTGCTCTGTTGTGGTTTGAGGCTAACAAGATCCCCTTTTTCATTCTGTCCATTAAAAGCATTGTGGGAAGTGTGGGCCTAGATTTTGATTTGGAACTTGTTCTGTCATGTCCTCCTCATTTCTGAGTTGTGCCCAACCACATGTCACTTTTGTTTTCCAGGTTTTTTTGGGGAAGATAATTTGAATTTCAAAACTGAATTAAAAGGGCCTCCTCAAAGCCTTCCCCTCTGATAGAAGTTTCTGATTGGTGTGCTTCTCATCCAGCTATTGATCTGACATTAAAAGAATGATTTGTTTGAGTTAAGGCTGAGTATAGGAGAAGGGAGCGTGACAATTTATGAGCAGGTGAGGCAAGTTAAACTTTCAGAAAGGGGAAAGAAGGAATCCTGGACCCCTTTGACAAAAGGAAGTACTCTTTATGTGCTGTTTACAGCACAGCCTCTTAAGCTAAAGGGGCCCAGATGTAAGGAGTCTGCAGCTCTTTTAGAGTGGCATTTTGGACAGCTGTTTCCTTTCTCAGGCTGAGCATCATGAAGGATTTGGACATTTAACATTCCATTTTGATTTAAGAAGTCTTGCTGTATGTTTTTAACAATTGGAGCTGTCCAGAAGCAGGGGAGATAACAAATCTTCCATTGGTAGAGTTCTGTGAGCAGAGGCTGCATCATCCACCGCCTTCCGGGGTGCTGTCGGGGCCTTCTGTTCAGCTTCAGGTTGGACTTGGGTCCATTTGGTTCTGAGGTTGTGTGATTTATGGGCTGTTGAGTGCATCTTAAAAGGAGCCACAGTTCTTGTGGATTCAAGTAGCTATAATTATAAGCGATTTTCAGTGGCTCAGATTTATTTTAATCTGGAATCAGCTGCATATGTTATTTCTTTTCCAGACCATTTGAGAGAAGAGTTTGAGCTTCAGGGCTTATTGTTATTTTGCTCTGAGAAAGTTCGACTTGCCTTACCTTCTTTACTGCTGTTTCTGTTTCTGTCAGGTGCCTGTCCCCCAGCAGCCATCAGTGTTTCCTGAGGTGTAGAGTCTCCTCTAGCCTAGCCTTTTTTCAGGGGTCTCATTGAATATATTTACATTGCCTTACCTATGGCTTTTCTTTTGTAGAAGGACCTGCCTCAGCCTTCCTGGGTGATGGCTTCATCTGAATGTCCCCAACCCCTAAAAGATTCAAATGCTTCCCCTTCTCAACAGGAGCCAAACAAAGAATTGATCAACCCCACCCTCCAAGCTGACCAGCTCTCTGATACACCCACATCCTTGGAGAAAACAGCAAGTGCCAGTGAACCTCTGAGCTCTGCCCCTCCTGTTTCAGAACCAGCCGATCAAGATAAGGACCAGCCTCATCAAGAGATTGGAGAGGCCCATCAGACTAGATGAGGAGAATGGAGATAGGAATTGTGGCACCTGCTACATGGCCCCCAGTGCCCATGGACTGGTTCTAACTTTCACTAAAGAGCCCCACAGCATCATTCCTCCTACAATTGCTGATATTTGTTAGGTCCCCCTTCCCCTCTTTCTGAAATATGGTGCTCTCATTCCCTTCTGATGCCCATTTCAGGGAGAACTTGAATAGGTTTCTCTTCCTCCACTCCTGCCTTCCTTCTCATGCCCGCCTTGTATTAAGGGGTTTTATTTATGCATTGCCCTGTGCTTGCGTAACTGCTGTGTTTCTCTAGCCTGACTGAGGTAAATCTTGACAGGGAAGCATCGGACAGTTTAGCTAACATGAAAAGCTGGGAGAAGTCATTGTTAGCACTTTCTCTTAGCCAGCAGTTAACATTTGATTTTTCTCTTTATGATATCTTAATTACAAATGAATGATTTAGTGTAATCAGATGTTTAAGAAGCAAGAAATGGTCCATCATTTCACCTCCTTTTGAAAGGATAAGCATTTCTATCCTGGTGCAGGAAGTACGTCATGATTCTCTAGGGTCCCGTTCCACCCCCACCCTCTCTTTCCCTGTTTAAAAGATGGTCTGGTCAAAGACTTCATAAAGTAGAACGCTGTTCTAGGTAAACATTCACTGAGTAGACTACCTCTTGTCCATCATAGTAAGTATGTTAAATTCTTTGTTACTCAGAAGATATTAAAACAAGATCACCACATGCTAGTGTCCAGGTAATTAGGAAAAGGACTATGATTATATATAAATGAAGGAGAGAGTGGTACAGGAATTTGGAGGAGCTGGTTGAAACAGGAAGTCTGTGTGACTTGTGTTAAAGAAGAAGGTATTGCTGTGTTTAATCGATTGTGTCTTATGAACTTGGCTAGAAGAGTAAGTGGGAGAACATGTTCAGAAACCTGGATCTTTAGTCCTAACTCTTAAATATGCCTAGTCTGTTTTCCTGAAAATGATTGGCTACCCCCACCCCACCCCCTGCTGTTGAGATCCAGGTTCTTGCAGGCAATGTTCCCTGTTTCTCTAAGTCACTTAAGAGGCTAATTCATTAGAATTAAAGCAGTACTGCCTCTGGAGATTTGGCATCTCTTTGGGACTGTGTTTCAGAACTTAAAAGTTGAAGAGAAGCTATAATCTCACTTTATATAAAATAAAATACGGCTTTTGGCTTTCTAGTACATTGGTTAGGCTGAGTTCTGGGGGTTAGCATGAAGTCCCCTAACTCATTAAACTTCAATTCCAGTAACCTTTTTTCTACCATTGGAAAGTTACTGAGGTTGTAGGCCTGTGGTTCTGTCTCCCCTTTGTCCTTGAAAGGGGATTTGGGTGAGGACATTGCTCTTTGCTGTCATTTCCTTTATTTGTGGCAACTGGCTACAGCTGTTGCTGAGCAGACCAGTGTGGTGGGTAAATGTCTTCAGCCTCTTTAGCAGATGAGGCATCTCAGTATTTGTTTACTTTTTTTAGGCATAAGATCCATTTTGTTTTGAACAGAGAAACCAGGGGCTTTAAATTTTATTTTTAAAACTCAAGTATTCCTGTTTTTAAACACTATACATTCCAGTCCATAAAAGTTACCTAAGTCCTACACCTTGCAGTAGTAAGGAATACATTTAAAATCTAGCTGAGGAATTTTTGCAATATATGGGAATATTCTGGAATGGTATTCTGTGTTCTACCTCACTGATAGGGTTCTCACAACACACACACACACACACACACACACACACACAAGCAAGCAAGCAAGAAAAGTCTAGCGCCAAATGGCATTTGTGGAGAGGCACTGGTGACTGGTTCCGTTACACCATGGCCACTATGGCTGAAGGGCAAGGTTGCCCATCTTACTTCCATACCTATCTTTTCCACCCTCTTTTCCCCTGAAACAAGTGGAGTGTTGTCCCTTTTATATAGTTAGAAGACTCCTGATGTGTAAAGGTGAGTGGTTCCTACCCCTGTCTCCCTAGACCACGGGAAGCCCTGATGATGCCATTCCCTGCCCCCTCCTAAGTCACAGCAAGGTAGCTAAAAGACATATGCTCTAAAACAAAGCCCCAAAGGGCTCTTCAGGAAGATTGGAGCCCTTCAGGTACTCCTTTATTTCTAAAAGGTTTCACATTTTAACCCACCACCTTCCCTGAAGCATCAAAGTGTTCCCTCAGCTGTGCTTGGGCTCAGAAGGTGGAGTTAGAATGTCTTTGTACATCAGGGTTTGGAGTTCTCTCCAGCCCAAATGCCTGATCAGATGAAGTGTCACTTGGGGCTATCTTGGCAACCTTATACTTGACTACTCTTCTAATCTTGTCTTCAGCCTTCTAGGCAGCCTTTTCAAATTTGAGCTTTGAATAACTTTCCAGTTAATGGATAATGAATGACAGGCAGTCAAACACTTATTTTTCATTCAACCAGTCTTAAGACTAGGACTTTTCAACATTATAGTTACTGTTTAGGGCTCTGCCTTTCAGGTATACCTCCTCATTGTCTCATTCTTGGCCAAGCTTCCCAGAATATCAGAGGCTTTGGGTAAAATCATAAACTTCCGAAAAAAATACCAGCATTGAGGATTTATGAACAGCCTTAGTTCTCTGGGGAGGAGGGATGGATTTTCTAGTTCAAGGAAGAAAAAACTGTCTCCAAAGTCCTTCAACCTGTTTGTGCATTTCTCTTGGGTTAAAATGAACTGATAACAACCTGGGAACAGTACCAAATGGACCTTTCCCTCCTTGTGTTCCTGTCCTTTTGTGAGTATGTTGCCATGTGAACATGATGCAAGTGAGCTCCTGTGCCAGGGAGAGACCTGAGTTGGAACCTGCTTCAGCCAATTGGACTATGCCTTAATTTAAGCCATTTTATACTTGTGTATGGTAAATGTGGGTTTGGTTGGGGTTTTTTTTTGTATTAGAAAAATGTCAAGAAATTCAAAGGCAGATGTTCCTAAAGTTTGCGTTTCATATTTTTTTGCCTTGCTTCTGTTAACCTTATCATTAAACATAGTTTTTGATATTTAAAACAGCATTTGAGATTTACTGTGAAGCGTAGGGAAGAAAATTGTCCTCCTCACATGTTGCCAAGTTTGCTGTCAGAATACAGATTCCATCACCCATATGAAGTCCTTTGTGGGGATCCCAGGATTTCAAACTGGACAGGCCCTTCCATGTCTGTCTAGTCCAGCCCCTTCCTCTTACAGATGAAATTGAAGCCCAGAATATTTGTGACTTGCTTGAGATCACAAAGATTAGTAGTTGAGGCAAATCCTTGGACTCCCAAGCCCATGTGTTCTTCTCTGCTCTGTACCATATTGTTAGGAACCAGGTCTTTATATTCTGAATGAAATGATTTTGTGGCTAGCTTTTGAGACGGCCACATCTTTTTGATTAGTGAACCAATTAGCAAACCTGTTAGTTTATTGGTACACCTTTTTGTTAGGAAGAAGGGAGTCCATCGAGCAGGTATTTAGAGTGCTTTCTGGGATATGCCCCAGCTGATGGAGAAAGCAGGGGGAAATGAGACAAAGACTCAGCAGTGACACATCCAAAAGTACCAGTAAGTGACTGAAGAAGCAGAACTAGCTAGCACCCAAGGCTGGGTGCTCTTTCCACTCTCTGCCTCTGCACACTCAGAACGATAAGATCACATGGAACTAAATAATAAAGTCACGTAAATAAATATCGAATTAATAGGGTGGAGTTTGTCTAAATTACTGACATTTGGATTACGTAGAACATTTTCAAAGTAATGTAGTTTTGTTCCAGGTATATGTGAAAACACTAGGCTAAGAAAATAGAGCCTAATAAAGATCCTTAGAGGGTCTACTTTAAAGAATAAGAATTATTTGTAAGCAGTTTATCAGTTGTATATAAATAGCCCTCCTAAAAGCTTTAAAGTCGTTTGAAAATGTTTTCAAATGTTATCTCCTTCATTTTTGTTGTAATATGCACTTCCTTTGAAGAAAATAATTTCAAAGCAAATGTTGCTTCGGTCCTTAATGAAATTCTGAATTAATAGGGCTTTCTGTGTAATCTTTCTGCAAAGTGGCTTGTGAGAATTTCAGAATTTATTTGAAAGTATGGAATAGGAAAAGAATCTGTGAGTGTTGAGATATTTTCACTTTCCCTTCTACACACCCTCTATCAGTGACACTCCCCCTTCAGTGGGAATGGAACAGCCCATGGAGTCCAAGAAGCCGAAGGATTCTGGTGTGCTGCAGAGAACTGCAAGCTTGGGATGTCTCTGAAGATGCATGAAAAGTTCCATTGTTCCTCCTGTTGGAGGAAGATCCAATTACTTTTAAGAAAAACTCATCTAAAGGCGCCTGCAAAGGAAAATGCACCTTCTCTGAATTAAACAGCAGCTACAAGTTGCTAAAATTTGGCACTGACAACATGACATTAAGTTTTTGTTGGGGGGTGGGGTGGAGATGGGGGACAGGACTCAGGAGCATCAGGATTCTATTTGGGGAAAAGGCTGGAAGAAAGTATTTTGCAGGAGAATGACAAACTCTCCTCCCTGCCTTGCCTTTCTCCATACGGTGGATATCACATTATAATATATAAATGGACTATTGTCTTAGATGGGAGCAGAAGTTCAGGTGGAGTGCTTCTAGTCATAAAATGGACCCCTTAGCTCTACCTTGGAAGCTGAACTAAGCTGGGGTGTGATCATGAGGACCTGGAAAGCTTTCCTTGTAGAGGTGATTTCCACTTTGACCCAACTCTGCAAGTTAAGTATATTCTCTATCCCTAGAGATCTAGGGCAAAATGCCTCAAGACCTCTTGGGGGCAAGGAGATCTACTCATTTGCAGGTGTATCTTAGAAACCATCCTAGTGAGTTACGGGAAGGGTTCCATAAAGGTGCCATCCGATGATGCCCCTAGAGTAGAGCACTGGATTTGGATCAGACCAGTGGCATCCTAGCCTCACTCCCTATCCTGGTTGTTTTGACCAAGTAACTTAGAACTTCGTACCTTGGTTTTCTCAGTGAAATGAGCAGGGTTGGGCCAGCTGGCCCTGTGATCCCATGGCCTGGAGGAGGGGACTCGTCACCAGTAAATTGGCGTGGGTGGGTTGGTTGGGTGGGCTGAAGAGGGGCACGGACAGCTCCTGGGACCTCGTGGTATTTAGGCAGCAAACTCCATTGGATGGTCTGGGTCAGACCTATTTGGAAAGAGTGCCTACAAAGCAAAAAAAAAAAAAAAAAAATGCGCCACCCCCGCGACTTTGGTTTATTGAGGGATTTCAATCTGCTGCTGAGAGAGTGGACCACCCCCCCATCCCAGGAAAGTCAGAGGACTTTTCTATGGAGTCGTGGCAGAAAAGAAAAGCAGGCTCTCCGGTTGTCGTTTCTTTTGGGAGCTGGTGAAGCCCAGGTGGAGTGGGGTAACAGCGAGCAAAGCCTTTGTGAGCGGTTTCCTTGCCCCCTGATGCCAGGATCTGTTGTACCCGGCTCTGGGTCACCTCTGCTACCTAGTGAGGCTCACGCTGTCCCCGGGTTTAGAACAGCCCGGGGTTGCACCACGGGCCTCTGGTGAGGCGGCAAACAGTCCCACGGAGAACGGGAACCCTGTCTGGGATTATAGGGGAGGGGAAAGGGCGGGGGGAGGGGAAAGGGCGGGGGAAGGGGATGAAGCACTTGATCCCCAGGGGACCTGGAGGAGGGAAGGGGAAATTTAAGGTGAAGCGGGCAAAGAAATGGTCCTGATTCCGAGGGGATCTTAACACGAGAGGGGGCGAGGAGGAGGAGGGGGTCGGTCCTAATCCCCGAGGGGTTGAGGAAGGTGGGGCCTTAACAGGGGGGCAGTAAGGTCGGGACCCTAATCCTGAGGGGGCGGGGAGGCCGGGGTTCTAACCTCGACGGGGCAGGCAGGGGCGCCCCAGACCCGAGAGACGGGTGGGCAGGGCCGGGGCCGCTCCCCTCGGGCAGTTCCTTCCCGCCCCCTACCCCACAAAAACGGGCGGGCAGCCACCAGAGCCAGCCACTCGTGGCAGCAGCGGCGGGAGAGAGCTGCTGACGGGGCGGCCCGGCTGGGTGAGTGAACCACGACTGCCTGCCCGGCTGGCCTCGGGAGGCACCGGGAGCTGCCCGGGGTGAGTCTCTCTAGGGGCAAGGGAGGGAAGGCGGGGGCAGGCTCAGCCCAGGAGGGGCTCCCAGCGGCAGTAACGGTCCAAGGCGCAGACATCCTTAAAGGGCTGGGCAGGAATCCACCCCGAAAGCCAAGTGAAAGAAAGAGGCAGATGGGGGAGAAGCCGACTTCGGGGGCACCCCTGCTCACTGCAGGCACGCAGCGCCAAGGCACGCTTGGTGCCAAGCGCTGGGGTTACAAAGAAAGGCAAAACAAGCTCCTGTTCCCGAGAAGCTCCCAATTAGACGGAGGAGGCAATATGCACACATCTATGTACGAACAAGCGTAGGTAGGTAGGTAGGTAGCGTGAACTGGAGCCAGTCAACAGAGATGAGGCACTAGCATCAAGGGGGGCGGGAAAGGCTTCCTCAGGAGGCAGGATTTTAGCTGAGACTTGAAGGAAGCCGGGGAAGCCTGGGGCAGAGATGAGCAGGGAGAACATTCCAGGCTTGGGATGTATGGAGTCGGGAGATAAGTCAAGGAGGCCAGTGTAGCTGGATCCCCGAGCACACGGAGAGGAGTAAGGTGTAAAAAGACTAGAAAGGTAGGAAAGGGCCAGGTTGTAAAGGGCTTTAAAAGCCAAAGAGGATATTTTAGATTTGATTCTGGAGGTAACAGGGAACCACTGAGTTTATTGAATGGGTGTGGGAGGGCATGGATACAGACATGAACTTTAAGATCACTTTGATAGCCAAATGGAGGACGAATTGGAGTGGGTTAAGACTGAAGCAGCTAGACCAACCAGCAGGTTATTGCCATAGTCTAGGCTTTGGTGATGAGGGTCTGCACCAGCAGGTGGCCTCCTCGGAGGAGAGAAGGGGGCATATAGGAGAGGAGAAATGCTTGGAAGGTAGAATGCAGAGCACTTAACTACAAATCGGATATAGGAGGGTGAGAAAGAGGGATAAGTCAAGGAAGACACCTAAGTCACAAGACTGGGTGATTGTGCCCTCAGCCGTAATAGGGAAGAAGAGAGGGTAACGCATCTTGTCAGGCGTGACTTAGAAGACAAGCAAGGGACCCTGGCAAATGATTTCCATAGGAGAACTACAGAGGTCCTAGCACTGGAAGGTACCCTGGAGGTCATCCCATCCAAAAGCCCCTCATTTTACAGATGGGGAAACTGAGAAGGAAGGAGTGGGGAATGCCTAGCTCAACTTCCTACACCTAGAAGGTGGCAGACAGCAAGCAGTGGAATCCCGGTCCTCCCACTTCAAATCCATGGAGCTCTTTCCATCACACTTTTCCGACTTCCTCCTTTTAGCTAATCTAAGGAAAAGCTCATGTAAAGAGCTCCGACCTTTTTAGAGAAGGGTTTCACAGGGTTATCAAATTTATGGCTGCTTAGTAAGTCTAAGCGCCTGAGACCGAAGCCCGGACATTTAACTTTCCCGGCTTCTAACTGCCTTGAGCATCTGTGTGAGTATCCGTCACTGTTCCCTGTGCCACACAAACTCATACACTCAGGAATGTATGGGACTTGGAGCCAGGAAAAATCAAGAAGATGTGCTTGAGCTCAGGGCTCAGAAACTTACCGTAAGCTGTGTGACTCCAGGCGAGTCATTCCTTTTTCTGGGCCTCAGTTTCTTCAACTCTGTAATCCTGTGTATTTGAGATGAATTCCACCTTTTCCTTTCAATTATTTGCTCGCTTCTTTTTCCATTCTCCAATTTCTTCCTCCCCCACCCCCCCCACATGGGTACACACAAATAGCCTTCTCCTCCATCAGATCATACACAGGTATCTCCAAGATCCTATTTAGTTTTCAGTCATGTGCTTCCCATGACAAGTCAGACCACGTCCAGGGGACTTAAAATTATGTCACATGAGGACTAGGTGAAGAGAATGGATATATTTGACCTACGGAAGAAAAGACTTGGGTAACAGTTGT